GGGGCACGTGCTCAGAGGGAGGGGCACGTGCTCAGAGGGAGGGGCACGTGCTCAGAGGGAGGGGCACGTGCTCAGTGTCTCTTTCAAAGATGACTCTGAGGACAGATTGAACAGAGCTCCGGAAGCTAGGAAAGGAGAGCTTTGAAGAGAGGATTTACAATGCCTGATACTTTCTTCTCAATCTCCTTTCAGAGACAAAGGTGAAGATAACAGAGAAAGCAGATTCCAAGCCTATAGTTATATTGATTTATTTGTGCTGCCACTTTAATTATAAATTATTAATTATCAAACAGGTTGCATGTTAGTAGATTCCAAGCCACCCTGGCTTGGTGACAACAGAGAATTATGGCTGATGCTCAATTCAGACCACTCTGCAGCCAGAAATTTTATGCTGCTGAGACCTTCCAAGTAAGACTTTTCAAGGAGAAGCCATAAGTAACAAGCAGAACACTTGAGCTCTTAAGGGAATCCACATTAGCAAATAAATAAAAATTGCCTTGCTTATAAATCTGCCATAGTTTGGATTATTTCTGCATTAGGAATTGCCCTGAAATTTCAGCAACATATTTTACTGAAATACACATGGGGAAAAATAGTGCACATGCTAACTGTACTGGTTTCTCTTGAGGAAACAATTCTACCTATTTTTCAGTATTTTCTAGCTTGTTAAAAAGTAGTTCTGAGTTTTAGAATGTCAATACTTCTTTTTCACTTCTGTAAAGCCACAACTACAGTGCAACTTCCAGAATATTCTCAAAGTAATGTCTGCCTTCGCTGCATTAAGGCGTCTGAGGGTTTCTTGCTCTAGAGCCTGGAGACTCCTGGGAGGTTACTTAACACAACTCAAGGAAGCGCTGCTGTCAGTGAGCACAGCTTAGTCCACCGTCTCCAGGACGGGGGAGCTTCGCCGAGGGCCACCCCACAGCCCACAGCTGTGGTCTCCAGAGATGGCGTGGCTCATCTAACCATGAAAGCTGCTGCACGAAGACACACTTACGCAATTCCCTGGGGGTTGCATGACTGCCTCTTTCCCAGGTGCTCGGTGACTGTCACCCAGGAAGAGGCCCTCTCTGCACCAGGACTGCCAGCATAAGCAGGCATGTCCACTGAGCCTGGTGTGCTCCTGTCATCCCCTGCAACTCAGCAGCAGCCTGCAATTTCTCCAAGGAAGAAAGATGTGTAGGTTCAAAGATGTGGGTTCACTGTGATTTGGTAGGGAGGAAAGTCCTTTTGTTCTCGATTATGGTAGCCTTAGTAACCAGCATTCATATGTAGCTTCATTTCTAAACTGTCTTACACATGCATGATCTCATAAACACTTTACAAATTAGGAGACTCATAGAAGAAATATTCTTCCTATTAAATATGAAGAAACTGAGGCATAAGGAGGATTAAGAAAACTACCCCAAATTGTAAGCCTAGCAAATGTCAGCACTCACAGGACGCTGTCTTATCCACTCCAGCAACACAGATTCACGCCCACGCGCTTTTGCGTGTGCCTCCTTCTGCTTCAAGCGTCTTGCCGGAGCACCTTTGCTCACGGCGTTGGCCACAGCGCACCGTGCTCAAAGCCCCTGTTCCACTCGACTTGTAGTAAGCAGTTCTAGCTCGCTTTTAAACCTGAGTTATACTTGCAATAACGCTAAGACTCTACCCCTGCTTCTGTGATAACTTTTTGAAGAGAAGATCTCTTAGGAATGGCTGTAAATGCTTCTTCAAGCTTTGGCAGGAGATCTTTGCTCATCTCTGTCAAGTTTCTGGGCAAACGGATCAATATATCATGTTAGTGCTTATGAACCTACACAGACAAAAAGATCACGATCATGCTTGAAAAGTCTAGATTACTGTCCCGGTTACTTTCTTCATTGTTGAGACAAAACACTCAACACCAAATTAAAGAAGGAAAGTGTTATTTAACTCACAATTTTTAAAGGTTTCAGTCCATAAGGAGGTGGCTCCCAGTAGGGTGGCACAGCAGTGGGCGTG